AGCAGTGAGAGTTGATGTAAGAGTTGGAGCTTTCTTCTTCAGTGACTGTTGTTCAGTCTTTTCCTTGCTTACTACAGGCTTCTCCTTCTTAACTTCTTCTGTATCAGAACTAATATCGATTACCTCCTCGGGTTTTGGTTTTGGTTTCGTAATAGCTTTTTTCTGGGCTGGTTTTTTCACCACTGGTTTTGGCATTGCTCCATCTACTACAATGCTTCCATTTGCATTGACTGCAATGGAATTCTTCTGTAATTCAAAGATACAATTAGTGGACTCCAAATATGAATAATAAAAGCAAGGACATGATTTCTAAACATGAAAACCTTGTTGTTTTCAGCTGCTGCAGCCTGTGCATTTGCCAGCAATTGTGCACAAAAACTCCTGAAATAGCACAATACAATAGATCTTTTTTTAACTACGATTTTTCTTTAATACCCTGAAGTAGTGTCAAATGAAATGAAAGAGAGAGTTATGAACCTTGTAACGGGGCGACAGATTTGAGGTATTGGCTTGCCATCAATATCGGGAATCGTAACCTTATTCCCAATGTCGCCAAGTGCTCGTCGATTTTTCCTTTCTGCCTCCATGTTCTTCTGCTTCTTGACACCCCCAGGGACTGCTGCTGCCTCTGTAAATTCCAAACCAAACGAAACCCTCTCATCAGGAAGCAAGAACAAGATTAGACTTGTTTTAAAAAATGATTAGAATCATTCCAAAACTTCAAATTTCATATAATTAGAAGTAATAACCAATGAAGAAACCCCATTATTGCATAAATGTAAAAGAGGATCTCATGAAGAAGACTAACAATTATTAAATTTCAACTTTATTTTTCACATTTTGTTGAAAGGTATGATCAAAATAACAAGACATCAACATTCAAAACTGAAAAATACGTTCATAGCCTGAAACTAAAATGAAAATTCAATCAAGGAAATTACTAAATGATAACATTTTAAATTTAGCCAAGAAATGCCAAAAACTGCATTCAACACTTCATCGAAATATCAGCAATCTTAACAGCTTCATTAAATAATAGAAATGTCTTATTATATCAAAATCGATAGAAAAAACATCAAAATAATCATAAGATTCCAAGAACTGCATTTGAATCTTCATCGAAATATCAGTAATCTTAACATCTTCATTGAACAACAGAAGAAGTAGACATTACTGTCTTATTGTATCAAAATAAAAAATCAAAATCAATATAATAAAGAAATCCTACAACCCTTCATCTAATCTTAACTTCTTTATTGAATAATAGAAGTAGACATTAATAACTTATACTCTTATTGTATCAAAATCAACGAAAAACATCAAAATAATCAAGTTCGTCCCTTCATCGAAATATCAGTAATCCTAAAATCTTCATTGAAAAACAGAAGAAGCGGACAGTAATATCTTATTATATCAAAATCCACGAAAAAAAATCAAAAAAAATCAAGAAATCCCAAGAAATGGATTCAACCCTTTATCGCAATATAAGTACCTTAAAAATATTCATTGAATAATTGAAGAAGTAGACATTAAGGCCTTATTACATCAAACATCATCATACCTCTGTTTTGTTGTTGAACAATCTGTCTTGAATCCATTGCGAGGAAGAAACCTCAATAATTCTTAATCTCCCTCTTCTGGGCCTCTCTCTCTTTCTCTCTCTCAGTGTAGATCGCTCAGGGAAGTCTGGAAGAGTGAGAATAGACGGATATTTGAAGCTGCATAACAGGCGCTGCAGAGCCAACGGTCTTATTTTTTTGAAATTATAGCCGTTGGATCAGTGGGAGATGCAACGGTGTTGATTANTTTGAAATTATAGCCGTTGGATCAGTGGGAGATGCAACGGTGTTGATTAAGTTTTGCGCTTTCCGACCTTAAGGTCTATATTTTAATGCTTCGATGCGAACGTCTCCATAGTTATTGTTGTGAACTTGCAAGAGAGCCCAATAAGTCAATGACACGTGGATCACAGGATCCCAATGTAATTTCTTCATTGGATTAAGCTGTTTGAATATGGTCTAAGTGACCTATTCATCTAGCAAAATCCTCAGTGATTTTCAATTTTTAAATTTCACCATTGCCCAAGAGAGGTTCGAACCCAACGAATTTACTTTCACTAGTATGTACATTTTTAGCAAATAAGTCCACATTTTTTAATTTGTGGGTCCCACAATTTTTAAGGTAAAATTAAGTTCCGCTTAGGCATTAAGTTCTATCTTTTAAACTTTGGATCACACATTCACACTAGTGTTCACTTGACACAATTTTGGCCACCAAATGGAGCTTATTCTTAATCTACAAGGCATCCAAACATGCTCTATATCTTTTCCTCCACCTGGTGAAAATTGTTAGCAATGCACTTTTAGAAGGGAAATGCCCCGCTTACAGCGCAATTTTTCACAGGGGCCTTACACTGTAGCAGCGGGCCCCAACTACTGTATTAAAAAAAAAAAGTGCCCCACGAACATGTGTGTAACTTGGCAGGGGACACATGAAACAGGCCCCTATACTTTTAGCATGTTTCTTTTTAGAATTTCAATAGTGTTTTTTGCAATGTTTAGACCAGATCGACTAGTTCAATCGATAAAATCAGGAACCGGTCACGATTCTCTGACCAGTATCTAAAACCTTTTTTTAAAAAAATAAATTAATATATAATTTAAAGGTTACCTTAGAGATTGAAACCCATTATCCACTTCCCACTTTTCAACCTATGGAGCTCTTTTATAATCATTTCTTGAGTTTCATAATTGATAAACTTTCGATGCGGGATTGACAAAATTCAATTAAACACACTTTCAATATACTTTCAATTTAGAATTGACAAACTTCAATAGAACGCACTTTTTCAATATTATTTATGGCCACGTGGTACATGACTACAAAATAAAATTACTCAATTTCTATAGATTGATAAACATTTTTTTAATCTTACAAATTATTTAGTAAAATCGAAATGAGTTTTTAAGTGATCTAACAAATTAAAAACTATTAAAATTTATATTAAAAACATACATTTGACATATTTGTATTCATCTTGAATTGATGGTGTAAAAATTTAATTATACATTATCGTGAAAATAAAATTTAAATGTTTATAAATATTTATTTATTACCTCCGGTTTGATCCCGATTTGACCTCAGTTGAACCTTTTGACCTTTGACCTTTTCTCTTTTCCGGGTCGATGCCCAGACCAAGTCTATAGGAAAAAGACAGATTTTCAAATTAGAAAATGATATTTGTACGCCCCAGGATGTAGGGCTGTCCATGGGTCGGTTCGGTTCGGTTCTGAAGATACCCGAACCGACCCAAAACTTTCGGGTATTTAATAAATGGACCCGTCGGGTCCAAATATAATTATGAAACCGTTCGGGTTCGGTTCCGTTGTGGGAGATGCAACGGTGTTGATTACGTTTTGCGCTTTCCGACCTTAAGGTCTATATTTTAATGCTTCGATGCGAACGTCTCCATAGTTATTGTTGTGAACTTGCAAGAGAGCCCAATAAGTCAATGACACGTGGAACACAGGATCCCAATGTAATTTCTTCATTGGATTAAACTGTTTGAATATGGTCTAAGTGATCTATTCATCTAGCAAAATCCTCAATGATTTTCAATTTTTAAATTTCACCATTGCCCAAGAGAGGTTCGAACCCAACGAATTTACTTTCACTAGTATGTACATTTTTAGCAAATAAGTCCACATTTTTTAATTTGTGGGTCCCACAATTTTTTAGGTAAAATTAAGTTCCGCTTAGGCATTAAATTCTATCTTTTAAACTCTGGATCACACATTCACACTAGTGTTCGCTTGACACAATTTTGGCCACCAAATGGAGCTTATTCTTAAGCTACAAGGCACCCAAACATGCTCTATATCTTTTCCTCCACCTGGTGAAAATTGTTAGCAATGCCACTTTTAGAAGGGAAATGCCCCGCTTACAACGCAATTTTTCACAGGGGCCTTACACTGTAGCAACGGGCCCCAACTGCTGTATTAAAAAAAAAAAAAAGTGCCCCCCGAACATGTGTGTAACTTGGCAGGAGACACGTGAAACAGGCCCCTATACTTTTAGCATGTTTCTTTTTAGAATTTCAATAGTGTTTTTTGCAATGTTTAGACCAGACCGACTAGTTCAATCGATAAAATCAGGAATCGATCACGATTCTCTGACCAGTATCTAAAACCTTTTTTTTAAAAAATAAATTAATATATAATTTAAAGGTTACCTTAGAGATTGAAACCCATTATCCACTTCCCACTTTTCAACCTATAGAGCTCTTTTATAATCATTTCTTGAGTTTCATAATTGATAAACTTTCGATGCGGGATAGACAAAATTCAATAAAACACACTTTCAATATACTTTCAATTTGGAATTGACAAACTTCAATACAACGCACTTTTTCAATATTATTTATGGCCACATGGTCCATGACTACAAAATAAAATTACTCAATTTCTATAGATCGCTAAACATTTTTTTTAATCTTACAAATTATTTAGTAAAATCAAAATGAGTTTTTAAGTGATCTAACAAATTAAAAACTATTAAAATTTATATTAAAAACATACATTTGACATATTTGTATTCATCTTGAATTGATGGTGTAAAAATTTAATTATATATTATCGTGAAAATAAAATTTAAATGTTTATAAATATTTATTTATTACCTCCGGTTTGATCCCGATTTGACCCCAGTTGAACTTTTGACCTTTGACCTTTTCTTTTTTTCGGGTCGATGCCCAGACCAAGTCTATAGGAAAAAGACAGATTTTTAAGTTAGAAAATGATATTTGTACACCCCAGGATGTATGCTTGGGTTTACACCCCCTCACATGGAGGGGGGTCGCCCGGGTGGACACCCTTATGTACGTGTAACATTTTCCTTTCAAGTTTGGATCGGAATAGACCAACTTGAAAAATGGTTTTCTTGCTATTTTTTCCTTTTTTCTTCTTGTGCAATTCATTATCTAAACGAGTTGTACATTGCTGATGATATCCCAAAAGTGCGGGAAATTTTGTGACATTTACAACTTGATGGCAACTCTACCTTGCAAAAAAATTGCCTTTTACCAAAAGACATTTTCATTAACACAAACAAAAAGGAATACAAAATGCAAGTCAGCAGCAAAGAACCATCAAATGATAAGAAGAAAATTATAACCACTAATGATTTGGCAAAACAAAAACCATGCCTAGAACACATAAGAATCATCAGTGGAAGTTTGATTAGATCTCCAAACACCAAACGAAAAAAATGAAAAAATCACACTTGAAAACCTCGTTATACTCTCACATTCGTACGAAACTCACAAGTCGGCCTAGTTTACAGTAAAGCGTCATCGTCTGGTCCAGCAAGCAAAACCTGCCATTAACAAATTTATGTTATAAGATCGAAAAATATGATGTTTCATGGGAATAAAATTATATTTGATGTGAAAATAGTGAACATCTGGAGCTAAAAAGGGCTTAGATATCTTAACAGTGGCTAACGATAGGAAAAATAAAGGCTACTCACATTGCAGTCGAGGGCGTACTTCCTTGCAAGAATAAGGGCTCCATTTCGTTCTCGCTCAGATTCGAAAACTAGCACAAAAGATTGTCCTTTCCTTGCTTGCCAAAATAAGGACTTGGCTGCAGAGTTGCCACCTCCTCTAAATCCACAGAACTGAGGACGGTATAACGTTGTTAGTAATGTTATCCTTAAAAGACATCTCAGAATATTAGTTGTTCGGAAGATCCGAAGTGGTGATGGAAAATTGGAGAATCAGTTTTTCACTTATAACCACGTAAAGGATAAGTTATAGACATCTTCAATAGATAAATTCTATAATAACGTGTCGATGATGATTACAGAGTGAAGTCATCAATCTGTTTATCAATGCAGCGAAATTCCCTTAAGAAAGCAAGAGATACTATGTTGATCGACTTCAGTATTGCAAGTTTACAACCTAAAAAGAATAAATTATTGTTCTCTGTCTTAAGATCTCTATTTCGTGGTATGGAAAAAGAATATAATCCTATTGCAAGTCTTTGTAAACATATTCAGAATATAAGACCAGCAGCGATGATGAGAGATCCATTAAGTAGCCATCCATTTATTAAAACTGTGCACGTATCAAGCCTCTGATGAAATCAGTAATGTAGCACATGACGGGGTATGTGAAGAGACAATTTTTTCTTTAAATAAACCAGTTATGCCCCTTGCCAACACCTAAAGCGCTTGTAGATGAGTGGTTCAAATAACATTACTAACAACCATCGTATGTAGAATGTGGAATGAGTAAAACTCAAATAACACATAATAAAAAAAAGTGTCTGTTGACCCTCATTTCTTTAGGTCATAGTACGCATCGAGAATTGAAATGAGAGAGCTGCCACAAGGAATACCTGCATAGATTTGGAATAAGATTCTCTAGCCTTGGTGATCCATCCTCTACTAAGCTTCATCCTTGTTTTCCCAACTTGAAATAAGTGCGATGAATGTGATGAATAATTCCGTCCATTCATCTGGGAGATAACTACCTGCAGAGCAAAATGTATTACAATTACAATAAGATGAACCTTTTCTAAGATTAATTTCCAACAGT